TGGCTTTTAAACAAAATATTTTAGAAATAAAAAAATTAAGCCAGAAGTACAAACCGAAATTTTATTATGCGGTCATCATGTTTCTTCTGCAACCACAACCGACGATGATAGCTCTGCGCCAACGAGTTGACAAGTGAAATAAGGAAATAGGCGACCATGCCATAGAGAACTACGTCAAACACCAGCTGCAGCCGATTAGATTTCTGTAGCAAATTGTTGCAGAAACATTAGCTTGAATAGTGACGTTAATTATTTTAACTTCAAGTACCATCTGTGCGTCGCCGCTGTTCAAATGATGCAACCTCACTTTCTGCGTCCTCAGGTATTCGCTGAACGGCGCTTCCAAGCGATGGCCAATTTTTGGAGTTTTCCTATAAACGTAACGATAGCAACTTTACAACAACCATATCATATATGCAAACTAACTTGAGAAGATTTAACAGTTTGGCGTAGTGCTGTTCGCTAAACGCGATGATGACGAACAGTTTCTGAAAGAAAAAGTATATTTTCATATATAAATTAAAAAGTATGAGTAAGAAAAAGAAGCCCGTCATTTCAAAAGGTCTTGCTGTCTGCTTGCAGATAATTACACTAGCACAAACTCTGCTAAAATCTGTGAAACCTAAACTAAACGTCGGCAATGGATTATGATTATATTACTGGCAGTACAAGCAATCCAGAAAAGCAGCCAACACCAACTATCTTTCTGGTTGGCATTCGTCGATTTCGAGAAGACTTTCAAATCAACCCACATGCGGTCTGTATCGGAACCTTCCAGGAGGCAGGGAATTAAGAAAAGGTGAGGAAACTTCATCGCCATCATCTAGCAGAATGCAACTGCTGGTGTAAAACTTTGCAAAAGGGCCATGTTCAAAATCTAAAACGCTATCACACAGGAAAACAATATCACCGAAGTTATTTACAGTATCAGAGACAGGTTTTCAAAACAAGATATCGGAAAAATGGGTATTTGAACATAAATGCCCACTTTCGACTAACGCACTACGCTTTTGTTAGAATCCAAAAACTGAAGGATGCCAGAATTAAAGCAGTAGAAAACATGAACCTGAAGAAGAAGCAGGATCTGTTTCAGAAATTTTAGAAATACATGACCGGCAACGAATCTGGCCTTGAAGAAATGTAAAGCCGCGTTATCCGGGGCATCTAATCTCTGCAACGGAAAAACGATAACGCGAGCTCAACAGAAGAACAAAAACGGCATGGAACACTTTTAGGAAACTGAAAATTTTCCTTTACTAGAAACTGCGGTTGTTTTTGAACTTTTCGACCAATGCATACATCCACTGCAAATATATGGACACGAAACTTGGACCCTAAGCTTGAAGGCCATTCATAAACTGCAAACTACATAATGCAGCATGGAAACATATTCAGAATAACAAGATAGAAAAAAGAACGAACGGATAGGAGCACGAACAAGAATCTGCGATTTAACTGCACAAGTGCACACATTAAAGTGCCAAAAGGCACGAAGCTTTGAAAGACGAACCGACCACCGCTGAAACCTAAAGATTTAGAACAGAATTTCAAGAGAGAGTGAGCCGCTCATCAGAAGATCTCCAGACCGAGGGCAAGATGCGTTGAAGATCAGTGGATAATAATCACAGAAAACTGAAGTACACAGCAAAGCATAGGAGAGCTTCACCCAGCAACGGATTTAAAAAGGCCATTGATGGTGAAAACGAGATTATCTCTGGCAGGAAAGTCAATTCTGTTGTTTTACAGAAAGAAATTTTACACGTGAAAAAACAAGTTCTCTTAGGTCTACTAGATTTTTAACCTATATGGTCCCGAATCTCATTCTCAACAAGCTGTGCATAATATTTAATATCAATAAAAGTCAAAAGACGGTGTTTCAGATAAAGAATCAAAGAATAGCTACTTTTCCACTTCATGAACAAGAATGACTGTAGGCGCGACACGTTCCTTAGATCAAACATTTCGGCATCCGTAATGAAGGCTGAAACGTTGGTGTAATGAGCAAAGAATCTATCGCATCCTAAAGCCATCTTCTGGTGAAGAAATGGATGAATCTGATTTAATTACGCATTTACATGTATATACTAATAAAAAACAAACAGAAAAATGCTTAACAACTAAATGTTTCTTATAAATTCATAAAAACACTCGCCATCACTGTCACTAGTAAGAAAGTCATCCAGTGCTGTCGAGTTAATGCTACTGTTACAGTGTTGCTGGTGCCGTCCTAATAAATATCGCCAGCATCATCGTCATATGATGACACCTGTTTGTCTTAACACAAAAAGTCGTCCTCGCTACCATCAAGATTATTTGGAATACAACATTCGAGGAAGCCTTGTTGAATTACAGATGCATTTAATTCATTCCAAGCCGTAACAACTCACTCGACAACTTCGGTTGACACACACGGCAATCACCAGTAGGAGTGATTACCTTCGCCTAACCATACATTCTATTTACAACAGAAAGCATCCTTCCTTCATCGGATCATTAACAACAGCATCTGAAAGCTGCACTAGACGCGTCCTGTCGCCTCAAAAATTAAACAAATCAGATTTCATTTTTTTACTTCTTTCTAGATAGAAGGCTTCCGACGACACCGAAACGAGTCGAGCAGCAACACTGCAAGTTGTTTGCGTAGACAAACTTGACGCTCCATCGAAACATATTTTAATCAGTCAATGGTTAATGCTTTATCCACCCCTACTTTAGCATAGACACGCATGTGTACACTGCTTGGAGACTGCACTTCTCTTGGAAGACCTTTCTCGCAAAAATTATGAAAGGCAGCAAGAAACTTTCCTCCACTGCAATCCACGCCAACATAACGAAGTGAGGGTTCCCGCATCCATATAGACGGTCTTCATGCATTTCGTGTATATGGTCCTGTTTTAGGGCATATCAGAAGTCAGGGACGTTTGCTCGACACTATTAGCTTGTGCAATGTCAGATGTTATTTTCTTAGTTTGATTATGAATTTTTAGAACCCCAGAAGATTCTTTTCCACGGTCATCTGGATGGTGCTATGCGAAGGTAGTTCTACGAACTGAAAGACCAAGTCGCTTCAGAAAACGAATTGCCCATCTAGATGGCGCCTTAAATTCTGCCCTATTTATTACACACACTTCATTAAAGTCTTTTCCAGGTCTAGAAAACTTAATGGTAACCCACAATTTATTATTTTACCATACAGCACTTGCCGAAAATACGAATACGTCATTAATTATACCACCAAATTATTTGTCTAATGACACCACAGGTGTTACAGGTGCCACGGTGTATTAAGTTACTAATTAAAAATAACAGGCTTCTGCGGAACTTGTGCGTCCAGACATGTAAATTTAGTGACTCAAAACTAAAACTGCAAAAGGACAACCAGAGCGAGACGTTGAACAGAAAAGATAATTACTTGTATATGCATTTTGATCACAGCTTTTCCAATCAAGGTTGATCCGAAGAACGTCCAGAATGGGACTAAAAAATGACCACAGGTGATGCCAGCCAAATCGAACAGCGGATTCGGGATCTGAAACGAGAGTAAAAGCAAATGAGGTTGATTATAATTAGGCTTTGCCGTTGCTTACCGACGCACAAAGCAATATGCCTAGAAAGCCGACGCGTTCAACCACACGCTGGATCATCAGCTTCAACTTGTCCATCCAGCTCTGTTCATCAAAAGATACTGTTTTAAGCAGGGTGAGGCAAAGATCACAGTATTCGTTATCAGCAATATACCTCTCTGTGATCAAGCTGCGACTGTCTGAGAAACTGTACGAACTCACGGTAGTCTTCATCATCTGGTTCTTCTCCAGACAATCGAGCTAATGGAACGGGTTATCTATGGTATGCAGTGAGCACATGAGGCTAGGTCTTACCGGCACGGGCCATGAAATACGGCGGTAGCTCACCGAGAGCCGTTCCCGTTCCCCACATAAACGACTCCAGACGAACCTTGTTCATGATCGCCCAGATGGAAACCACCGAACTGGCGGCTAGCATGCTGCTGTTGTGCATGACTTTAAACGCAGAGTCATCTAGCTGAATCGACGAATTCGAACTGATCAACGACGCTTCGCCATTGTAGGGACACACGATTCTGAAATGCAACAATATACATATAAAAATTCAGAAAGAACATCGCTCCAATAGCAAACAAAACGAAACAACAAAAAAAGTTAAATAAAACGACAAGTTTGATTAGCGTTAAGGCAGATGCACGCTTGCGGATGCGACTTAAACGTCTGAAATAAGTCAGTCGGTCAGTGAAATACGTCAGTTAATGTGCATAAGATCATTTCCATCTACATAAATGCAGCGCATGTATAGGTATTACTGATTCAAAACTACAGATCATGCAATTACGTTCAAAATTTACTTTGCATTTTGACTCAGAGTTAAAGTTAGAAATGGATAGTAAACATGAGAAACTTTAAACGTATATTATAATGCACATTTAACTGCACATCCCACCATTAATTTTATATGAACCGAAATAAATATGAATATCAGTCAGTTTTGATGATCAATTGTTATTTCGAGTGGAAGAGGCAGCAGCGTCAGAGTATCTTTAACGTTCCCGATGTCATGTCAACGTTTGAAATTCAGCAGAAAATAACTCGAATCTGCTGCAGAGTCCGTTGAAACATTTGCTCCATGGCATTCTCGGTCTTCCACGGGATTCTCGACCGGTCGCTTGGACAAGTAGTAGTTGTTCTGACTTATTTTTCTGAAAGCATTCGAAAGACGTGCCCATCACAACCATCGCAGCTGCGACTCAACCCGGATAAGTATTAATTTATTTCACATGTTCAAAACGTGTTCACAAATATGCATCTGTTGCTGTGAGCTATTGGCAGGGTGCCCTCAAGCTTTGGAAATAAATTCACTGCCTTAGATTAGCCGTTTATCTGGGTTCATAAACAAGGAACAACTCATCATAAAAAACAATGTACTGCGTCAAGAGCAATTTTCAAGACCAATCAGGATTAATCAGCCATTCAGAAAACAGAAAGTATGATGCAATATTCCAAGTGACATTATGAGGTCTTGCGCTTTTGACAGAGTTAATAATTTTCATTTTTGTTGCACTTGTTCGATCATTATCATACTGGTCTTTACTCGACATCTTAATACCACAACAAAGTGCACCGGGTAATCAAATGTTATGAGTGCCACCCGTTTTATATTCCCGCAATATCATTGCAAAATAATTATATTTTATATTTTTCGCCGTATAAATCAGCTAGTAGCTCAAAGATAAAGCACACACTTCTTCACTTCATTTCGTCGCGACGTGCTCAAAATAGTTTTTCACTGATAATTTAATGTATATGCATACAGAGTAATAAATTACGTTTGATCAGCAAGAAACTAACAACATGAAAGAAAGCACATCCAGCAAGGAAGGTACTCATATATCACTGATCTGGCCTCCCTGATGCATCAAAGAGCGTTGGATCGGTGCCATGCGCTATAGAACTAACCTCGATGTAATTAACTTTATATAAAGTCTAGGACAATGCAAAAAATGACCCACAAACTTACTCATCAGGGTACGGAGGTTCCGGGAATTTCAGGCTGCCACATTCAAATGCGGCGATCGTAACAGAAGCTATATGAGGACCCTGAAAAGTACCGGATAAAGATTAAGCTACAAGAGCAGAAGTTAAGCATGTTTACTGCAAGTGACCAATTAAAATTATTCAACAAAGAACTCATTTATGAAAATGGCACTTTTATAAACATATTAAGGGTATGGGTTACGTACATAAAAGTTCGAATACAGCAAGTAAAGAAACTGTGATGCGAACATGTTGGCACTGATCATCACCTTGAACAGTTAGGATAAATAGAACTATCCCCTTATTTTATGGATTTCAATGCAACCACAGCTTTTTACCATTGCTGTAGAACATGAGTAACCGCATCGTAGAAGGAACAACTATTCAATTAACGCATATCTGTCATCACTTGTTTCATCTGTGCTGCATGTCGGCATCCGCCGCATACGGCTCGACACACGCCTTATTTTGGGACACACAAGAAGCTGGAGCAGGAAATTTATGCTCAACCAGTTTGTTCGACAGGGTGAACTTCAATTTCTTAATATTCGCATCTACTGACAACTCATGTATATGAAACACTAAATATAAATTCTCCTTATGCAGCTCTGTCATTTGACTCTACGAATCGAAGCCAACGCTGGTGGACCCTGAATCAAAGTGATTCATAGTCCTTTGTTCGAAACGGGGACTGCCACCTTATACAACAACACAACCTTAATCGAGAAAAATATATATATGCGGATTTTTGCGCAACCAAATAATCCAATCTTAGGTCAAATCTTGGCGAGGTCAAGAGCAACATTACTAGAAAGTGCAATCCCGCAAGCTAAGCCTGAATGGATGATACCATCGCTGGAGTTGATGCAGTCGACACACTAACATTGATCAATCTTCTGAAACGCTTTACCTCCCTGCCCCACTTTTAGATAAGCTTTAACAGATGGGTTCTCCATAACTTTCGGGTGTTAGTGAAGAGGTAGAGAGGCTGGCTTTTGCTGTAGTGTTCTCAATGGAAGCCAACAGGTGACAAAGCCTGCTTCCGTTACTACTTACCAATCAATACAATATCATCTGCGTACTCGAGGTACGTAAGATATCTACATTGATGTTCTGAACAATGTCTTCCGCTTAGATCGAAACCTTCCTCTTTGTCTGGGTCTTTGTCAATGCTGAATAGGCAAGGTAAAAGCACATCTCCCTGGCGAACTTCACAGTTAATACTGAATTACTAAGACAAATTTTATTCAATTCTAACAACAGACAGTTTTTGAATATGTCTTCTAAAACAGAAACAAATATGGTCAAGTATCCCACAGCAGTTCAAGATTTTCAACATCGTCGGACGATGTAGTGAATCAAATGCAGACTTAAGGTCAATAAAGCTGACAAAGCAAGGCAACTGAAATCACTGAAATTGTGCAGTGATGCCATGAAGAGTGGAAATTTGGTCGCAGCAGCAGTATTTAATCCGGAAACCAGGTAAATTTAGGCGAAATTTCCCGTCAACTGCCTGGATCCATATTTTCAGCATAAGATATCACAGTAGTTAGTCGTGTGTACAACGATACTTGGAGATCAGCTGTCTATACCGTTTAAAAATGGCGGACAAGATTACTTCATACATCCATTCTCCAGAAGAATGGCTTTTGGGGCCACATTTAATGAAAGGGATGTAAAGCATTTTTAAATACACAAATAACTCAACAAATTAAATGCGCGCCGCAGACTCTTTTCATCTTGAGAGACAGTGAGATTTACGGCTTTTAAATTTAGAGTAAACCTGAATCTTACCGCTAGCGTTAGCAGCAAGTTACAATTAGAAACTTTGCACCTGAAAGACAGGTGTAAATGAACAACGGGAAATACTTAACTCATCTTATGAGATATTCCTTCTGATATTTCTTCCGCATGCCCTCGACGAGTATCAATCACGTTCCATGCGTGCAACCTTACCATCCTCAGAATACGGTTCGCCAGTAAGCTTCTCTGACTGCGTCACTGAAGTTGGTTATTTCGTTCTCCAGAAATGAACAACCATCGATTAAATGAATGTGACAACAAAACTTATTACTAAACAGGTAGTTCAAAAACAATAATTCCTATCTTAAACGTGCTGCCAAAATTAAAGAGGAAATGAGAGGAAAGAAAATTCGAGATTTATGATCAATTCAAGACTCTGATTTTGACTGTCTATAAATAAGGTCTCAGACAATGGAACCGGCGTTTCAGATGTTAGCGTAGATCACAGAAAGACATATGCAGTTTCGTAAAATGTGATTCGCGGAAACAGTGAAGCGCGGTTGAAATCTAATATGACACGAGTCAATGGGAAGTTCAGCAAATTCATTACATTTAAACAACATATCAAATATCCTATAAAACGGTGGCACACACGTTACAGGGATGTCAAACGGTTTCTCGAC